CCAGGGCCATGGCACCAACCCTCTCCCTCCCAAGCCCTAGAGCACAGACTGTCCCCACCACGTGTCTGTCTGCAAAATAGATACTGCTTCCCAAACAAGCCCAGCTCTCTTCTGAGCCCCTCCCCACATGTTCTTTCTTTAATTCCTAAGAGAGCTTTATTAGGTAGATTATTTCCCCCATTTTACAGATGAGAAAAGTGAGTTTGTGAGCACTGGCCTCCTTGTTGAGGCCTGGCCATCCAATGGGAAGGGCTGCCTGATGAATGTGCTACCTACACCCTTGGCATGTGGCCATGCAGAGGAGCCTGCCCTCCTGCTCCCCGGAGGCTGGTGTTCTGGCCTCCTGGAGTACTAGCCACACCCTCTCACCCAAGGTCAGGCTGAAACACTAAGGCCTTTTCTGCATCTGGGAGGAGAGTATGCTCGTTAATCATGGTGCCCTGGAGCAGGTATGAACAAGGTTTTTCCTTACTCAAAGTCAGCGTTCTTTGCAGAGCTTATGGGGATGAGAGTTGTTAGATTTGGAGATGCCAGTTGCTTTAAGGTTTGAGTTCACTCTCCACTGACTGTGATGCTAGTTTATGTAATGTTCATGTGACCCCAGCGCCCCAGTCTGGGTTTCTGGGCTGCTCTATTGTACAGGAACTGGTTTGGCAGCTTCTCCTTAGAACATATCCTCTGTGAATCCAGGGGCAAGCCCCAGCTTGGCCACCCCAGGAGACTAGGCTATTCCGGCCCAAGTCTGTCTATCCAGGGCAGCATGACCCTCTTTCGGTTGACAGATTTGGGTTCCCCATCCCTTTCTGGCTGGCCGCACATCTGGACCCAGCAGAGATTTAGGCCCCAGCCTGGCTCTGGTGATTGACCTCCAGGCATCTTGTGGACTCAGAGACTCCTCTCATGCCTCCCAGCAGTCTGGACGCTGCCATGGGGTCCCCAGGCCCTGTGGGGTTGCAGGTCAGGCATGGGCTCTTGAAAGCAGCCCCAAAGGCCGACTGTGCATGCCGGCAGCTTCCAAGGCTAGGTTTGTACACAGCCTCAGTTCTGTTACTGATGTGGATCAGATGAGAAAGGGAAAAGGCTTGCCACTGTGTGTTTTGTGATATTATTGTAAAATCTGTTTGGTGAGTATGGATTTTATAAATAGTCATTCTAGAAAGTGATGATTTGCTTCAGCATAGTTTCCACACTCTTGCCTAGGAACTAAGAGCATGCTGCGTGGCACTGCCCCTGCGTCCAGGTGCTCCCTGTGGCCAGCCCGGCCCACAGCCACCCTCTGTCCTCTGAAGGTGCGTCCCGGCAGCCAGAGATGCACATGAGATATTGGCCTGGCTGGGCAATTTGCACGGCCTTCCAGGGAGGGCATTAGCATATAAATAGCAGATGCAATGACGACCATCACAGCTGAGCACGTTTAATTTTTAGTTTATAAGATAGAATGGGTTTTTAAATGCATAGCCATCAAGCCGCTGAAAGACAAATGCAGTTTGGAACTCACTTGTCTGACGAGGTCTTACATCATTTTTTTTTTTAAAAAGGGAAACAGACACACATAAAACTGAACAAAAGTGATTTCTTGGGTGAAAAGTAATTGAGATCGCGTTACCAAGTTAATTAGATGGTACAAAATTTATTTAATGGTCCCAGCTGTATCTCCAGGCTGTGTGTGCTTGGCGAGCAGAACTGCCCCCTTCTCTTGGGGCTGCACTTCCCCTTCCCTCTCAATAATTAGTAACCTCACTACCGTACTTCTGTAAACTGATTGCATTGTATATTTTAGCCGTTTTATTGCTTGTTTAATTATGATCGTGGAGGCTCATTTTTCTAAATCCTTTTAAGTGTGCGTGAGAATCACTTTGTATAAAACCAGCAAAGGCCCCAAGTGCTGTCCATGCCTCCCTGTGGCAGCAGCTGGGGGGCTTTTTCAGAGGCTGTGGCAGGCACTGTGTGGAGTGGGGTGTGCAGCCTCCACACTGGGGACTACCTGGCAAGGAGGCTTCCTATTGGCTCGCAGGGTCCCACCCAGGCCTGCGCCTGTTAGGAAATGTGTGAGCACAGGTGCCCAGCCCACCTCGATTTACAGGTCCCTTGGGAGCACACAGCCTTCTCATCTCCTGCCTCTGCTAGTCAGTTTTTTGGGGTATCTTCTGTTTTATGCTGTTTCATCACAGTTGGAAAACTCAGCTCCCAGGTGGGTTAAAACCAAACTGCTTCTGAAAACATTTTACAATGTTTGACCCTGTTTGGAAGAAGTCCTTGGCCCTGACGCCTACTATGGGTGTGGTCTCCTTTCCAGGATCCTCGACTGTCCAGCTGCCCTGTGTTTGGCCCCTTGGTGGAGGGCACTGGGGGTGCCCGATGCTGGCCCTGGGCCCTGCCCAATATCGTTTGTAACCTTGAGGGAAGGGCTTGTGGCTGATGCCACTTGGTTATTTGATTTCCTAGAGATGAATTGGAGACCCATGGAAGTGCTCAGAAGGGACTCTTTTCCATGTAGGCTTTAAATTTCCCTTTGGGCCTCTCTGCATTTCTGAGGCCTTGGAGAGGGCTGTCCCTGTGACCATGGTGTCTCTTTCCTTTGAGAGGCCTAAGGCATGAGGTCCTGACAGGTCACACAACTTCCCCCCTTCTTGGCACCAGAAACGCCGCTGCCTATTCCTAATGTGCAGCACGCCTGGTGTCAGATGTCCTAAGGCGACATGCAAGTTTATCCTGTGTAAATTAAAATCTAAAAATTGAAGATTTTAAGCTTACATTTTGTGTTAGTGAAGTCCCTAAATTCTATGTTGCAGAGGTTTGAGTGGGTTCCCTCAGCCTCTAAATAGTTTAAAACTAAACTGTGGAAATGGGTGGCTGTGGTCAGTCAGCCCTTGCCCCAGAGAAAGCCCCCTGGTGTGTTCAGAGTCCAAGGTCTGTCTGCAGGACCTGGCCCAGTGTTTATAGAGGGTGGCACCAGTCAGGACAGCTTGTCAGCACAAAGGTAAGGACAAAGAGGAATCAGGTTCCAAATTTAATCACAGAAGTAAACGATTTTAGTTGGGGAGAAAGAAGGTATAATTTCTAATAGTTAGCTAAGCAGTTAAATATTTTTTAGGAAATGAAAATTTGATAAAAGTCCCCGTTGAAATTCAAGGGTGTGGGCAATAAGCATAATATTTTTTGAAAATGACCCCCATATTTAAAGTCTGCCGCTGTATGTTATGCATTGTAGCACCCGGTCCACATCTACCTTTAGAAAATTAAAACACATAAATTCTGTTTAGTGTTTGATACGCACTGCACTAGCTGAGAACTGTAATGCCCTAAAACCTTGGGCTGCTCTCCACCTTTCATAAATTCCTGGGCAGATTCTATACAAAAATAATTTTCAGGTCCGTGGCTCATTGTTATTCAAACGTGATGGATGGTCGTCATTTGCTGTGCGCGGGAGTTAAGTGCCCCTGTCATTTCCAAAGAGTATAATTGGGACGTTTCACAGGTCAGCGGTGGAGACAGGCTTCCCTTTTGATCAGTGTTAGACTGATAACAAAAATTACAGTTTCCAGTGATTAATGTCTTCTGTGCTTCCCAGAGGCATGGCTGTGGCTGCACCTAAACAGAGTGCACTTGCATCTGATTGTGCCTGGTGGTGCTGGTGGCACCTTTTCTGCAGGGCACAGGGGCCCAGCAGGTGTGGCCAGATGTGGCTGCCAACATCCGCCACTCTGGTAGCTGAGATTGGCCCGGCTCTGTCTGGCAACTGGCAGCTGCGCTGGGGTGCCGTCCACAACCGTCCGGAACCTACTTGGGGCCCTGCCTGGGGGATCAGCCCCTGTCTCTGCCATTGGTCCTCCCTTCAGGAAACAAGGCCATGCTTGAGTATGCCTTTGAGATGTTGCTGTTGGGAATGAGCTAAAAAGGTAAAGACACGTGACAGAATAGTTGAGTTTTTCAAAGTTTTCCTCCTATAGCCCTCTGAGGGTCTCATTGGCTGGTATTCTTCTGACAGGGACCTCCCTTTCTGGACGTTCCCTTTGGCTGTCTGGCGTGGCTGTGATGGTGCAGGCCTCAGGACCCTGGGGGCCGCCCTGCCAGGTTCCCTTTGTTCTAAGTGCTCCAGCCAGGCCCTCCCAGGAGGAGTAGGACTCTGGTGGTGTTGCCAATACCCCCCGTACCTTGTCCTGGGATGCAAGGGTGGCCATGGGAAAGTGAGGCAGGAAAGAGCCACCCACGGGCCATTTCTGCAACAAGGTTCGTGGTGCAGGCACGTTTACATGGGTGGCCATGGTCGCGGGTCACCGCTGTGCAGCACTCTGGTGCATGCCCGCAGCCTCCTGCTCCAGGGAGAAGTTGCCCCTCAGCCTGATGAGATGAGGCAGCCACGCAGGAAACGGAGCAGGGTGGGCTTGAGGAACTGGGTCTTCCTGGGGAGAAAAGCAAGCAGGGCTTCCTGTGCAGTTCTGCAGGTCCTCCTAAGGGAGGGAAGCAGGTATGGGACCTGGGCTCCCCCAGGACTCAGCACAAGCAACCCCTCAACACGGCCACGGTGGAGGGAGGAGGCCTTGTCATAAGGAAACTCTGCTATGGTTTTAACAAGTCTTTAAAGACTGAATACTCCAGCTATGCCTGTCCTTTTCTTGTGTCTGTGACGTGCTGTGGACTACTGTTACTGCAGCCACTGAGAGCTACGTCTGCTGTCTCCTCAGGCTCTCTGTTCTGTGCAGCTTTGCAGCGATGTTTATTTCTTGTGGGAACAGAGAGGACAGCATGTTCCAGAGGGAACTGGGGAGCTGATGTACAGTTTGTTGTTTTAATGTAGATCTAAACAGCCCCCAATATGAGGCAGTGTAGAGGTGATGTGATCTGGGGAACAAGGAAAGTCTTGGAGACGATCTTAAATGAAGTCCACCCTGGAGAAAAAACACCACAAGAAATAGGGATATCCTGGGCTTTGCCTGCTGGCAGCAGTTCTCATACACAGAGGCTGGGAGTTTATTAGTGTTTTGGGGGTGTTTCCATAGACAGACACCCCAGAGGACGGGGAGGAAGATGAGGAGGACGACTTTGTGGAGGTCCCAGAGAAGGAGGGATTCGAGGCCTGTGTCCCTGAGCACCTGCTGGGTGAGTACAATGGGCTGCCGTACTTGCAGTGGGGGAGGCTGGAGAGGGGGCCTTTGATCAGGACGCTGCCCTTGGGCCCATGGCCACATGCCCTGGGGTCTGGGCACCCTCCAAAGGTCAGGGAATGGGGCCTCAGTGCGAGCCCCAGCCCTTCCTGCTGGATTATGCTGTGTCGGTCATTGGTGCTGTCATTTAAAACTGTGTGATATTCCTTTTGTGCCTGGGTCCCTCCCTACGGCCGGCCCTAAGGTGCTCCTGTCCCACAGTCATCCTGCTGGGCCATCTCTGTTGAGAGGACCCTCAGATGCCCCACCATTTATGCATGTATGTGGGTCCATGGAGACCCCAACACAGCCCACTGTGGGTGGCAGTTTCTGCCTCCCTCCCTGTTGCTTCCAGGCACCCCCATCCCCTGGGCAGCCCTGCTTGGGGGCAGGAAGGTTTCCTTCACAGGCGCATGCAAGCATGAGAAAGGGCACCTACAGCAGACAGCTGGCTAAAGTTGGCGCCTTCAGCACGAGAGGGTGGTGAGGCTGTGTGATCCTACTGCTGTGGAGTGTCTCCAGTGGGAGGGAGGGAGTGCAGGGGTGGCCACCCACCCCCCTGCCATTACTTGGGCTGTCACCAGTAAGGTACGTCCCTTTGTATCATTGACAAAGCCATGGACTCAGCACTGGGCCCAAGATGTATGTCTGCTACGTGGCAAGGAGCAACTTCTCACCACATGGGAGTGCAGAGCACAGCTGCTACAGCCTTTGCTATCTAGAATTTCCCTCTTTCCCAAAATCAACCTTTAAAAGCTGCTATCTGCACCCCAGGGCTGTGGCCCTCCAGGAGGAAGGGTGTGCGCCAAGTCAGGGCTGCTCATGGCACACGCAGGCAGCCTCTGCATCCAGAGGCAGCAGTGAAAGCCAGACCACTGGCTTTTCTGCTGGGATAGAGAAGTTAGTTTGAGTCAGAGTCTATAAGGTAAAATATAAATTTGTTAAAAAATTTAGATGATTAGACAGCTGATGTGTGAAGATATGACCCATTAAAGGTGTCATGGCAAATTAACACAAGCAGACCCCCAAACACTGAACGGCCTTCCATCCTGTGGTCCTGTTTATTTGCCTGCAGGCTGGGCAGGCCGAGCTCCTGGGGTCAGTGTAGGCTTGAGAGTCTGGGAGGAAACCAGATACTTGGGGGCCACCTGAGTCTGACCTGTCTGGCCGTGGGTATGGTGCTGACTCAGATCTGTCACCTTTTTTCAAGGGCTCAGCAGAGACAAGCCGAGTGGCCACTGTCTCCTCTCCAGCACTCTGGCCACACCCCTCCCCATAATTGGGCCTCCCTGTGACCCGCACAGCCCCTTCTTTTCCAAATGCCATCTCCCCCTGAAACCATCTCCTTACCTAGAGTAGGAGTGCCTCACAGCCAAAGCCTCACCCTGGTGGCCACGGCCAAGTCCCTGCACCTGCCACAAAGCCCCCAGCAGTACCTAAAGCATACTGTTGCCTGCTGTGACCACACTCCCTATGCCAGGATGGTCTTTGCTCCCTACACAGCTCTCTGTCACCCTCAGCTGGATGAGGCTGTGGCCCAGCCTCAGGGAGGCGCCGGCTGACATGCAGCCAGGTCAGAGGCTACCCTGGCTGAGGACAGGGCGGGGAGGGGGCATCTGCCTGTGCCCCTGCTCAGCTCTTGGGCAGTCTTGTCTACCCAGATCCCCTCCAGCCCTGCTGAGTTACTCCGTCTTCTTCCCTGAGCTCCAGGGTAGGCACCCAGTTGTGGTCAGTATTTGCAACTGTCAGGCTCCAGTTTCCTCCCTCTAGGGGTCTGGCACTGGTCCCCTCTGGGGAGCTGGCACTGACCCTTGGCTTGTCATTTTGCTGAAGTTTTCTAACCTTGGGCCTCTGTACATGCCTGCTTTAATGCTACTGGGTCCTTTCAGCAGAAATTGTCTCATTGAACAAATTAGATGATGTTTGATGTCTCAATGGCAGAAGTCTACTCTTTACTTAAAACTTTACTCATGGCTCTAAACTGTCTAGACCAGGAGCAGAAGTGAAAAGCAACCTAGGGTTGGCCATCCCAGCCCATCCCCTTTGTGGGTCTTCCTGTCCTAGCCCCAGACATGGTGAAGACACCTCCAGATGTCATCTGGGGGCATTTGTCTTTCCATCTTGTGCCCCGGGCACAGCAGAGCAGACAAGAACTGTTCCTGCTGGGATATCCTAGTTCTGGAAAATCTGTGAGCCTGACACAATGGCTGTTGGTTCCACCACTGAGCTTTGGGACAGTTTGTTACACAACAGTAGATGACCTGCAGTGCCCTCCTGTTCTCCCAGCTCTTGTCAGCCTGAGTTGTGACATCCACTTTCCCCTGATGGCTCTGGGTGCGGGGGCAGAACCCCAGGGCCACTCACACCTGGGCCACAGGGGAAGGAGTTCCATCGCGGCTTTGCTGGGTGGGTAGAGACCCCAGGAGTTTTATTGCCATTCATTCACCCCTTTAATTTGAAAGGGTCATGATATTCTGTATTTAGCCTTGAAGGTGATAATGGCTGGTGTGGGTCTACAAGTTGAAAACAAGTAGATGGTGAACAGGGTGGGAGGCAGGGTGTGGCATTGGCCCCTCTGTAGTGAGTTCAGTGGCCGTCTGTGTGCCCTGGGCCGAGGGCTGCAGGGCCCAGAGGAGGGGTGCAGGGCATAGACCTCTGTACAGAGCATGGAGGCAGGAGGGGCTCCAGGGTGAGGTCCCAAGTAATAAACCACCTGGAGCTATTGCGGGGGTGGCACCACTTCAGGGGAAGAGGTGGGACAGGACTACCTCACAGGGAGGAGGGGGACGGGATCACCTGGGGAGGACCACCTCACAGAGAGTAGCAGGGTAGGACCACCTCTGGGGTGCAGGGTGGAGGGTGCAGGACCACCTCTTGGGGTGGGGCCTCGTGCTCCTCACCTGGTCTCTGTATCACTCAGAGCTGGGGCAGTGGGACCAGGCTGCCAGCGGAGGCGAGTGCAGTTCATAACACTAGTTTATATTCTATCGCTGTTCTTTCAATTAAATGTAGGTGAATCTGAAGTAGTTAGATTTAGTCTAAATCCACACAGCTCAGGAAACCAGTGCTCTTTCTCTTTCTCATTTCTTTGAATTTTCACTGAGGGGCTTTTATCTTCCCCTTAATCCTACCATTTCTGTCAGGACATAATCTCTTTCTCAAATTTACATTTTAATTACAAGGCCAGCTGAACTAGGTAAAATCAATAATGTCAGCGCTCCGCAGCCCAACTTTGCGCTGAAGCCCCAGCCTCTCCATTTCCTGCTATCGATTTATCTCTCCGCACTGTCTGCTTTAGTGCCTCAGGCAAATAGGTGCCACTTGGTCAATTTAAACAAAAAAAGGGGATTTGGACATTTTTATGATTCTTTCTAAAAGCAACTGTGGGAGTGAATTTGAGCCAAGATACTGTACTCAAGTTAGACACCTTGCAGGGTGGGCGGGGGCGGCTGGTGGGGGCAGCTGGCCGGGCTTTCCCAGGTACCTGTGGCCTCTTGTTTTTCCAAGAGTCATTATTCTTCCTGCAAATGCATACTCTCAGTACCTGAGGAATGCTATCTGCTTTTTGGGTTTTTACTTTGAAAGTATGTCAGTGAGATTGATTTTCTACAACAATGTGAAAATGGTAGTGTTTTTTTAGTGCCCTGAGTATTTACCCTGCTTTAACACGCTTACCCATCTTTTTAATGGTTTAAAACAACAAATCAATGAAAAATATATTTCATTCTTGTAACTCTTAGGAATTCTCATATTGATCTTTGGGCTGTGATTGTATCTGAATGTCACAGTGTTCATGTATCAGCCTTGCCTCCCCTCGTGTGTGCGCGTGCACATGTGTGCTGTCTGCGTTGTGTCATTGTCAGTTAGTGATGATGCATTGCCAAAACACATGCCCCATTGAGCAGGGGCATTTGGAAGTTTTTGTGAGCTAAACCTGAGACACTGCATCAGATGACATAGCTGAGTAGGGGCTGCCCAGCATCCTCTGAATGTGCACTGCCACAGAGCCTTGGGACCTCCAAATGCACATGGTAGCTTTGAGGGGGTCTGACCTTATCACCCTCTCTAAGTGGCTCGTTCTTGTGTGCTCCTCAGCCCATGGGAACCTGAGAAATAGGAGTAGCCCTCACAAGGGTACAGCATTGCACAGGGCTTAGCAGCACTCCTGGGCAGGGTTGGCAAGCATCTTCTGCAAAGAGCCAGAGAGCACGTTTTCAGCTTTGCGGGCCACATGAGGCCTTATTGCAGTGCTTCAACCTGCCGTTGTGGTGTGAAAGGGGACATGGCCAAGATGCAAACACATGAGCATGGCAGTGTGCCAGTAAAACTTTATTTACAAAACAGGCCCACAGGCCGGGCGCTGTGGCTCACGCCTGTAATCCTAGCTCTTGGGAGGCCGAGGCGGGCGGATTGCTCAAGGTCAGGAGTTCAAAACCAGCCTGAGCAAGAGCGAGACCCCGTCTCTACTATAAATAGAAAGAAATTAATTGGCCAACTGATATATATATAAAAAATTAGCCGGGCATGGTGGCGCATGCCTATAGTCCCAGCTACCCGGGAGGCTGAGGCAGAAGGATCACTCGAGCCCAGGAGTTTGAGGTTGCTGTGAGCTAGGCTGACACCACGGCACTCACTCTAGCCTAGGCAAGAAAGCGAGACTCTGTCTCAAAAAAAAAAAAAAAAAAACAGGCCCACAGCTGCAGTCTGCCGAATACATGCAGTCATCTTGTGTATACACACAGTAAGTCTCCATCTGTCAGAAAGCGCTTCTGTGTAAGTACATGTATGTGTGCATGTGTGTGTATATGTGTAATATGTCACATGTACCTGAATTCCAGATATCTGGGATCTCTGGCTGCCCTTTGCCCTGGTCTCCTTCCTCAGTGCTCTGTGGTCTGAGGACACAGTCGGTGATGAGTCTTCAGAAGTGACTGAAGTCCTTTTATGATTTAATACTTGGTTGTCTCTTGTCAGTTTTATGTGAGCTGGGAAAGGACCTTCTGGGTATGAAGTCCCACAGTATCTCTTAGTCTGATCTTTTTGATGATGTCATACACATCCACAATTTGGCCCGTTTAATGGCCGCTTTCCGAGAGGGTGTCCTGAAGCCCCCAGCATAGTTGTGGTCCCCAGTTCTTTTTTTTTTTTTTTTTATTTCGGCATATTATGGGGGTACAGATTTTAAGGTTTCAATAAATGCCCATTTCTCCCCCTCCCCCCAAAAGTCTGAGTCTCCATCATGACCATCCCCCAGATGGTGCACATCTCACTCATTATGTATGTATATACCCGCCCCCTCCCCCCTCCCACCTGCCCAATACCCTATTACTGTAGTACCTATGTGTCCACTTAGGTGCTTGGTCCCCAGTTCTTTTGTGGCCTCTCAGCAGTTGCTTTATGTGTTTTGAAGTCACATTTGTAAGTTTTATAAGCATATCCATTGATGTTTATTATTAATTACATATTCCTTCTACCTTCCTTTTTTGGCTTAAAATCCAGTTTTCTAATATAAACATATTATAAATATTTAAATTATAAATCTAATATAAACATTATCTCAGCTGTCTTTTTTTTCTTATTTGCACGGTAAATATTTTTCATTCTTTTATTTTCAGCTTTTCATTAGCCATTTTTTTAAGTGGATCTCATAGACAAGGTGTCACTAAGTATATTTAATCTAGTCTGTTTTTACATTGATTTTGAGTCATTTAATTAATAGTTATTGTATTTTCAGACATATTCAAACCAGTTTATTGCATGCTTCTGTTTACCACACTTTCTCTGATATGCTACTATTATCATTTTCTTCTTTTCTTCACCTTTTATTTGCTAGCCTACCTTTTCTGCTGGTTTTAAAGATATTCATCTTTTCATTCTTCTGATGATTATCCCTAGTTGTTTTTGTTTGTTTGTTTTGTTTTTGAGGCAGAGTCTCACTCTGTTGCTCGGGCTAGAGTGCCATGGTGTCAGCCTAGCTCACAGCAACCTCAAGCTTCTGGGCTCAAGCGATCCTCCTGCCTCAGCCTCCCAAGTAGCTGGGACTACAGGCATGTGCCACCATGCCCAGCTAATTTTTCTATGTATTTTTAGTTGGCCAATTAATTTATTTCTATTTTTTAGTAGAGACGGGGTCTCGCTCTTGCTGGTATTGAACTCCTGACCTTGAGCCATCCACCCGCCTCAGCCTCCCAGAGTGCTAAGATTACAGGCGTGCGCCACTGCTCCCGGCCTATCCCTAGTTTTTAAACGACTCATACATACATTTGCCACATACTGTTTATTTTTATAGTTTTTTTATAGTTTCTCAGTTTCTGTGCTGTCTTCTACATAATACAGGTAGCCTTGCAGCCTCTGCCTGCTGTGACCTCCTCCCCCCGTCACGGCGGAGCATCCAGATACCAGCTTAATTCCGATTATTATGTGCACTCGGGTTGTCGGGCAGCAGTAAACTTCACAAAGTCATTTTTTCAGTTGTACTTCCCATATCTTGCCCCACTCTCCTAAACTTATTTTTCTTCTTGATGGATTTCTTGCTACGGAGGAGTTTCTGAGTAGATTTTCCTATGGTGACCCTCGGAGATCCTGTACATATGGCCATTGTCCTTCACCTGCACACTGAAACATGGTTTCGCTGGGCATACAGTTCTGAGCCTGAATGTCTTTTCCTTCAACATTTTTAAAATGATCTTGCAAGATCTTGAGTTCACTGTTGCTGTTAAAAATACTGGTGTCGATAAGATTTTCATTTATTTATTTATTTTTTAAAGTTTCTGCCCTTTACAAACAAAAGGATTTTTATTCTTCGAAAGTATCAGCTTTTTCTCTTTGGAAGCTTTTCAGGTTTTTCTCTTTATCTTTAATGTTCTTACTTAAATTTTCCTATGATGTTTCTGGCCCTGGTTTTTCCTCTGCAACTCAGTGAGGCCTCTAATTCGAGGAAAACTTGACTCATTATTTCTTCAACTTTTCCCCACACTCCAATTATTTTTCCTCTTCTTAGATTCCAGAAATGAGGACATTGATACTTGCCTCTACCCTTCACACCTCTGAGCCGTAAAGGTCTCTCCACGCTGTCCCCAGCTCTGAGTTGTCCACGGCTCCCAGGTGCTGCTGCCGATCCCGTCAGCCATCTGGCGAGTAATTATTTCACCTGCTTATTTTTCTTGCCCTTCGTTGTCATGCAAGACATCCTTAATGTCCCTTCCTCTTTTTGACTTGTTATTGCTGTTTCCAGTGTGCTCCCTTAACTCTTAAAGAACATAGACCACATCTTTTCCGTCTTGTCTGTTTCATCCGTGGACACTGCCTTGTGTGGATGTGTTGCTCCGTCTATTTGCTTTCTTTCAAGGCTGTGTGCTCTCAGCAGTCTGGCTTCCCTGCCAGTTCATGTTCTCCTGTGTCCCGAGCCATCCCTGGCTGGCAGGCACGCTGGGAGGAAGGGCAGCAGTCCAGGCCCAGATTGCTCCAGCAGTGAGTTTGGGGAGGCAGATAGTACCAAGTGTCCTAATCCATACCCTGCCTCGGGACCCCACCTTGGACAGCAGCTGGGGAATGCAGGCCCATGCCCCGGCCGAGAGGTGCCAGCAGGGTTCAGGCAGGGCCCCGCAGAGGGGCAGCCTAAGAGCCAGACCCAAGTCATTGCTTTAGCATAGATGGAGGCGTGTCAGGGTTTGGTAGTGTTGGAAGATCTGTCCTTGCCCTGCCCTAGGGGTGTGGAGATAGACGCTGGAGTGCAGAGGTCAGGGCCCTGGTGGCTCGTCCCTGCCATCTCCCTTGGGGACATGGTGATATACAGTGCCTTGGCCCATTGAGCTGGTGGCAGGATGAGCATTCCATGGTGGCATTAACAGAGGCGGTGTTGCCAGGACCCCAGTTCTGGCCACCTCCCTCCCCCTGGGCTCTCAGAAAAATCAGCTAAAGCTGTGGAGCGAAGGCATCTCTGTGGACTGGCGGCAAGTGCACCGCTTTGAACCCCAGCTTGAAACTGGCGTTTTGACCTCAGTGCAGGTGTGGTTTGAAATTCTGTCAGGAATGCTTTCTTTTTCCTCTTCCTTGCTCCAGTTCAGCCAAGTGGTGACCTTTGTGTTCTCAGGGGGATGCAGTGTGCACCCTGTGGGTGGCCTCTATCACGTGCCTGCCCTACCAGGCCATGCATGCCCAGGTTCTGAACACGAAAGGCCCTGTCATCTCTGCCACAGGCCTAGGGCTTGGAGAATGACCACAGGCTGCCCCATTCTCTTTTGTCCTCTCCTTTCACTGCTGCGGCTGCGCTGTGGGTGGCAGCTGGCAGGGCTGCGGGCTTCTGCTGCTGCGGCACTCTCCTGAGCCAGCCCAACAGTCTGTCTGGTCAAGCTGGTATGTCAGTGAATCCGGGCAGCACAGCCTGTCAACTGTGCTCCATGCTAGGACCACCAGCGTCTCTGCCGGCCTCCACTACGTCTCGCCGAGCATGGCAGGCAGCCCGCTTGTCTGTGAGGGGGAGGTAGCAGGCCCACCCCAGGGGGCTGTGGGAGGATTAAACCCACTAGTGCTGTGGGCACATCCTGCCTGCCCAGTCATGTGGGATGGTGCATAGTACCCCTACACATGTGCCCTGGCGTTGTGGGGACGTGGTTGAAGTGGACACTATTTCTCTCAGGGCTGGAGTCAGAGGCCCTGCTGCAGACCCCAGAGAAGAACCTGGCTGTACAGGGCTTACAGGCAAGGACAAGGACAAGGATGAGAAGGGATGAGGAGGCATCAGACCCCACCTCTGCGGCTGCCCAGCAACAGCGGCTCAGGGACCACTTGCCCCGGCTGCCACCCTCGTCTACCAGGTGACTCCTGATACCCCATTGCTGGATCTTCTGGCTGGAGCAGCACAGCCTCTGCCCGGAGCATGGCCGCCCCCACCCCTGCCTCTGCCCCTGCCCAGAGCACAGCTGCCCCCGGGTGCTCAGGATGTTCTTGGCTCCTCTGAAAGAAGCCAGGTCTGCACTGCGGCGCCTGCCAACATCCACACCACAGGCAGGGACTGGAAGCCGTGCAGGGTGGCCTCAGCTCTGGCATGTTGGCCAGAGCCCAGTAGGACTGGCCCGACAAATATCCTCCAGGGCCCTGCTTGCCCGTTTGAGAGGGTCCCTGAGTCTGGGCAGTTGCTCTGGGGTTCGAGAGCCGACACAGGTCACCCTGGGGCATGGTGAAGGACTGCAGACCAGATGCCAGCAGTTGGCCAGGGCTTGGGGCTTCTCACAGGACCTTGGCAGTGGCCTTGAAGCCCAGGCCCAGTGTGGGCAGAGGTCATTGCTCACTTGTGCTGACCCAGGGCTCCTGGCTGCACTGCAGGGTATGGGGAGGGAGAAGCAGGTGCCTGTGGCCGGCTCCCAGAGTGTGTGGTCAGCATGTCCTACTCTGCTCTTGTAGCCCCTCTAAGGCACTGTTGGGGCTGGAGGAGGCCCAGAAACTGGCAGCAGAGCGGGCCCGGGCACCCTTCGTGCCCTACGGAGTAGACCTATGCTACTGGGGCCAGGAGCAGCCAGCGCCCAGGAAGATTCTCAGGTGAGTCTGGGCATGTCTGGTTGGCAAGGGTGCAGGGCCAGGGCCCGGCCTGAGGAGGGAGAGACAGGTTCACGGGGCCTCCCTGGGTCTGAGGCAGCTCTGCCTACCTTCTGGTGCTGAGAGGGGCAGGGGGGTGGGCTGCGCCCGTTGAATGGGCCTGGGCTCTCTTGAGACTACTGCCTTGGCCCAGCAGGTCTCAGGGCATTTTCTGAGCCTTCCTGTTGCTCCTTCGGGAGCCATCCATGAGGGTCAGGTGTTACCAAAGCATGAAGGAACAGCCAGAAGAGAGAGCACCCCGATGAGAGTGGTCCTGAGGCCCATTTAAAGCTCATTTGCTGAGAGCCTGGGTTGCTTCTAGGACTGCACCCGCCAGTGACTGCACCACTCAGTTGTTACAGTGGGCCAGGCCTGTGGCCCTGCGGGAACGGCTGAGAAGCTGCCCTCCCTGCCCCTCCTTCCTCTTTTGCTGTCTCCACTGCACTGGCTGCTTCTTTCTCTGTGAAGCTGTGAGGAAGGGGGTGCACAGGGGATTGTCCACTCCTAAATGCAGACTCTCAGGCCTCGGGAGGCCACCTTTCTTTTTTGGCCTGTCATTGGAAGCCGGGCCAGGACATTGCTCACACAGCCAAGGAGGGTGGGGAAGACAGTGCCAAAGTTCTGTCCTGGGATGAAAGATACTGCCAGGAGAGCCTGTCCCTATCCCCGCCCCCCCCACGAGCCCTGCCCCTCGCTCCCCAGGTGAGCCCACCCCAGGCCTGGCTGGGGGGGGCTGACCAGGCCCAGGGCCAGTCTGTGTGTGGCTGGCATGGCGGGGGTGGGACTTGTGAGGCCACGGATGCTGACGTGGACACAAGAGGTGCTGCTGCTGCCCCCCAACACCTGCTGCTCAGCCTGACTGTGCTGCAGACACTGTAAACACAGAGGCTGGCGTTTGGGATCTGCAGGGCTGGGAACACCACTGTGATGGGGGAGCTCATAGGCTACCTGTGGGCGGACTGGCAACAGGGCCTCCAGGGAGGGGCCAGGACGGGGGCACAAGGCAGGATGGTCCCTGTGCCGGGGTCTTGGCACAGCAACACGTAGCAACCCTGGCTGAGGAATGCTGGGTGCCTGGTGTGTCTACTGCTCTCTTCCTGGACACCCAGGAATGGATCACATGTGCCCAGGTGTCCTGGTTGGTCCACATCCTAGGGTGAGGATGGTGCCTGGCTGCCCGCCAGGCACCAGTATAAGTTGCAAGTCAGATGTCAGTAGGAAGACCCAGAAGCCAGCCCACACCACTGGGCCTCCCCAACAAGAGGGGCTGGGCTGTGTGCCCCATTTGATACACACTCAGACATGGGGATTCTTCCTTGGCACCCCCTCCTTCCCTCTGGCCAAGGCAAAGGCCTACTCAGGCCCTCCAGGCCACCAAGCACCTGCCTTGAGGAGGTGGCTTTTCCAAAAAGGCTGTGGTGAAGAGAGCTGGTCTTAGAACCGGGGACCCCAACCCTACTGGCCCTGCCCAAACCTTGAAGCCTGGTTAGGTCCTGGCATCCCAGCCTTGTCTTCTTGATCCACTGGATAAAAGGGGTGAGGCCACGCTCCCTGAGGTTCTTGAATGCTGACCATGAGCTGGTAGCATGATCCTGTATACTCAGTGGGGGTCCAGCCAGGAGGGTTGCCCAAACATGCACTCTATTCCGGGTTTCTGGCGGGCTCATATATAAGGGCAGGGCAGTGAGTCGGAGGTACAGATCCCAGCCTCATTCACAGTGGCACCGGGACGTGAGGGCTCATCAGCTCAGGCCATTGTCCTTCAGTCCATGCAGTCGCTGTCCTTGGTCTGGGTAGGATGGGCTGGGGCTGGGCAGAGGGTGGGTGGGCCGCTCGGCAGTCACTTGCATGGGCCAGGGATAAAACTGCCACATGTTGCTGCCGGGGACATCCCAAGGCCAGCGCTCAGTTTCAGAGCCCAGCCAGTGACCACAGCCTTTGAAGGGACAATGGGCAAGTGTAGCTATGGCTCATCCCACCCAGCAGCCCACATCTAGATCGAGCATCTGCCCATCCTGCCTGCCTGGCACCTCAGTGCTGTACGTGTTGTCCTGGGGTCCCAGGGTCTTTTGACTGGGAGAGAGGCTTCAGCAGCTTGAGATGAGTACCTGGCTTCACATCCCTCATAAATTCCTCGAGTTGTTGCCAGGCCCCTATGATGTTACCACCACCTGCCTGACACTACAGTTTTGTGGTTTCATGCTTCCCCATAAAACAGAGGGCAGATCTCTGAACTTGACAGCTCACAGTTCTGTCGCAGGAGCCAGCCATGGTTCGAGTGGCAGCAGGCACGTGGGAGCAGCCATGGCAGTGAAGGGCCCCGTGTCAGAGCCCAGTGGGTGGCGCTGTAGGGCCGGCTGCTCGGTGTTAGTTCCTGGGTACCTGCGTGCCTCTGGCAGCCAGTGTCAGTCTGGTGCATGTTTGGGCAACCCTCCTGGCTGGACCCCCACTGAGTATACAGGATCATGCCACCAGCTCATGGTCAGCATTCAAGAACCTCAGGGAGCGTGGCCTCACCCCTTTTATCCAGTGGATCAAGAAGACAAGGCTGGGATGCCAGGACCTAACCAGGCTTCAAGGTTTGGGCAGGGCCAGTAGGGTTGGGGTCCCCGGTTCTAAGACCAGCTCTCTTCACCACAGCCTTTTTGGAAAAGCCACCTCCTCAAGGCAGGTGCTTGGTGGCCTGGAGGGCCTGAGTAGGCCTTTGCCTTGGCCAGAGGGAAGGAGGGGGTGCCAAGGAAGAATCCCCATGTCTGAGTGTGTATCAAATGGGGCACACAGCCCAGCCCCTCTTGTTGGGGAGGCCCAGTGGTGTGGGCTGGCTTCTGGGTCTTCCTACTGACATCTGACTTGCAACTTATACTGGTCCAGCCGGAGGCATCTGGTGGGCAGCCAGGCACCATCCTCACCCTAGTCTGTGGGGTGCGTGTCTGGGCATTCTTCAGACCGGCACATCGGGCACAAACAGCTGTTTGTGCCAAGGCTCTGCCTAAGCCAACTCTCCCTGTAGTGGGTCTGGTATGGGACCCCCGGCCCCAGCCCAGACTGTGGGGGGGACAGATCAGACACTTGGAGTGGCCCCAGGGGCTAGGCCTTCTCTGGGCTATTTCTCCCCAGTGGTGGGTTGGGCCTTGGTGCCTATGTCTCTGTAGGCCAGGGGTCTGGGCAGGGGGTGCCAGGGCTCTATGCTCCTCCTAGACCCTTGGGGCAGGGGTGTGGGAGCCCGTGAGCCTTGGTGGGCAGAGCCAACCATTTGTGCTTCCCCAGGAGCCCTTGGCACCCACCCCTCTGACCACCCTCATACCTGCTATCTCCCACTCATCGCTGTGTGCCATGGAACAGTGGCCCTGCTCCCAAGACCTGGCTGGGGCCAGCTGGAGCATCAGTACCAGGTGCAGTGGGGCCTCTATCCCCCAATCAAGCATCGAGGGGAACAGGGTCCCAGTCCTCCAGTGCTGGTGTACCCGGCCCTGCCCCTTCTCTGGCATCAATAGAAAAGTATCATTAACAAGGGCTGGTGACAGCAACAGAGCATGTTACCAGAAATTTAGGAGATAGGAGCAAGACCCATTGTCCCTGTCTCTCTGCACTACTGCTGTGGGCTGGGTGGTAGGTTCCACATGCTCCTTCCTTGAGCTGCAGGCACCACCTGTATTCACACCCCACAGCAGTAATGGTGACCTTTATGTGGATTGCCCTGTTAGTCCTCAGTCACCTTGAGGGTGCCGTGGCCAGTGTCCCCACTGTGGAGGGAGAACCCAAGCCTGGGTTGGTGATCGAGTCACAGTCTTACAACTGGTTCACGCAACCTCAGGATTCAAACTCAGACTGGAGCGGCCATCTCCTCCAGTCCAGGGGGGGCGTTAGAGATCAGCTCACGGGGTCCCCAGGGTCAAGGAGTGACTGGGGTGCAGGGGGTTTGGCTGTCCTCTCATCCCTAGACCCCAACTAGCCACATTCTTCCTGGGTCCCTTCACACATCTTTGAGGGTTTCTGGTTCTCTTTGCAGATCCAACTCTCAGCACCGCTTTTGGAAGCCCAGCGAGGTGGAGGAGGAAGTAGAGAGTGCTGCTATCTCCGAGATGCTCCAGAGCCGCCATATCACCTTTGCAGGGAGGTTTGAGCCTGTGCAGCACCGGTGCCGTGCCCCAAGGCCCGATGGCCGGCTCTGTGAGCGCCAAGATCGGCTAAAGGTGAGGCCTGACTGCAGGCACTTAGGGCCATAGGCCTAGGGTTAGGCAGGGCCAGAACAGGTCAGACAGAGGAGAGTGCTGAGCTCCCACCTGCCCTGGCCCTGGGTTGGGGACACTTGTAAGCACAGAGAAGCTGCCATGGAAGGGCTTGTCCATGGTTGACAGAAATTGCTTGGCCACTGGTCATCAGAAAATTGTATCTGGGGTCTCCTGTCCCGGGCCCATGACTTGGAATGCTCTCCAGGGGTCATTACACCCAGCGTCCGTCTAGGGTATGTCTAGCCTTCTCTGTGCTGTTCTAGACTCCTCAGAAGTAAGGCAGCACGTGGACCCCTTGTCTCTGGGGTTCATGAAGTGAGAGGCCATAGGTAGAGGCCAGAGGGGCCGGGCAGCAGCTGGCAGGCCAGCAGTTGGGAATGGTGTGAAGGGAAGTCTCTCCCATCAAACCAGCAGGAACGAGGCCCAGGCTCCCTGTTGCTGCCCAAGTTCCTGGATCCAGAGGGAAAATGGAACTGCCTCCCCCTTCTCTGTTGCTCCCCAGACCCCCCCCCCAGCTTTTGAATATGCAATTGAAGGGTAACACACCTTGGCTTTGTGTTACCGCCCCGCCCAATGGCTGTTTGTGCCCAATGCACTGTGGGCTGTGATCAGGGCAGGCAGCACCCCCTTCGGCTGTCAGCTGCCCTGTCTTTGCTGTGCAGTGCCCTTTCCATGGAAAGATTATCCCAAGAGACGAAGAGGGAATGCCCCTTGACCCGGAAGACAGGGCGCTGGAGCAGAGGCGGCAGCAGCAGATGCAGAAGCGCCCGGGTAGGTCTGGGTGGGTGCTGTTGAGGGCATAGCCCTGGGACCCGCTGCCCCCAGGCATTTGGTCAGGGAGCACCCATACCACCAGCTTGGCCTGAGGAGCTGCACGATAGTAAAATAAGGTGGAGGGAGGAAACATTGCCTTAGGGGGCTCCACAGGGTGCTCAGGCTTCAAGCAGGTACACGTTGTCACAGGCGCCCAACAGGGACACAGGCTCCCCACGGCCTAGAAACCACCAGGTTATCATTTGTGTGGTTCAGTTTTAGATTCTTATGTTTTTTAAGCAGATGAAGGAATGAAGGCCAAGAAAGGTAAATGACAGGATCCCCGAGTCACTGTTCCTCCTAATGCTGCTGTCTCACTCTTCCCTTGTTCCGCCCCTTCTGCGGAGTTTTCGCAGCTGGGCAATTGTTTTGTCTCATTGCGGGGATGCGTGTGGCCACATGCTCAGGGAATCTGCTATGGCTGGTGGTGGGAGTTTGGGGTCCCCGTGCTGGCTGCCCTGTCCCCTGAGGTCTCTGTCACTTTGGTGAAGCCTACCCAGCCCATCCCACTCCGGGCCGGGGTTCATGTTTGTTTTCCGGAAGGGATTGTTATTGCAGGCCCTGGGCAGGCTTGGGCTCCCTCCCTTCTGAAGAGAGGGCCGGTCTGCAGGCCCAGACCTTGGTGAAGGTGGAAGTCGTGCCATGTCCGTGGGAGCACGGTTGGTGTGCTCGTGGGTCCCACCAAGCCATCTTGTCGTTCACAGGCTTTTTGCACTCTGGTCATGAGAGGCAGATGCTGAGTTTCAGACTGATCCCCAGAGATGGCACCTGGGCCCTGGGGGCCCTAGATGGTGCGGGCGGTGGTGTGTAGGAGGCCCTGACCTGTTAATCTTCGGGTGAGGCCTTCCCTGGTGGCTCATGCTCAGGAGCAAATGAAGTGCCTATTTTTTCTGTCAACCCTGAAGAGTATCTGGTTTTCCAGCCCTTGGTGACTTGTTAACAAACAGGTATCAGGCTGTGGCTACGGGCCACGCTGGCCAGTCAGATGTGAAATAGCATCTCTTTACTAACTACACTATTGATCCCGCCTCCCTAGCACACGGGGCAATTTTCTTTTCCCTGGTGCTAACCTCGGTGACAATGCGCGCAGCGCTCCAGGGCCCGTCAGCGCCCAGGAAGGCCGGGAGGCCCCGGCATCTATTGATTTTCTTCAAAGGCTTTTAAATTGCTCCTTCATTTTACTGAGGTGCTCATTCCATCTCTACTGGAAGCCAGCATTTTTTCGTTGTGTTTAAACAATTGCTCCATTCACTGGGTTCCTAAACTGTGACGCCTTCTTATTACTGGGAGATAAACTGTTTAGACAGTTTTCCTTAATCTTGGATTAATCGTTTCTGTATCTGAATTGTGCAGCCCCGTATTCCTTCACTTCAAAAAATCAGCTTGGGGAGGCCTCACCATCCGTCTGTCTGGGGCATATGGCTGCTTCCCTCCATAAATGTGCCTCCCCAGCAAAAGGCCTGGCCCCTCTGCTCCCAGCTCATGGGGTCCTGGTGCACATTTGGGCGTCCTTGAGTGTGGCGTGTTCAGCTCCTTCTGGAAGCCAGGGCCATTCGTTGGTCTCTTGGTCATCATGTTCCTACCTGGGTGGCCTTTGCAAGCACCTGGACCAGCACCTAGCCTGACAGATCCCTGCAGCAGTTTCGTGGAGGGAAACCCCCAGAGACTGAGATGGGGGTAGCTGCCCAGGAACCCTTGCACACTGAATTCTTTCTGCCCTAGGAGTCAGCATGCTGACCTTGCCGTGGCGTGGCCTGGGGCTGGCGAGGCTGGGTGACATTTGTTTCCCCTCACGGCCATGGCAGGTGATGCCTGGCATGCTCAGAAAAGACAGCTCTGTCTAGGTGAACTTCCACCCTGCATTTCTGAGGCCTACGGCCAGGCCAGCTTTAGATCAACACAAACAAAGCCCTTTGTTGGCCATCATGCTTGGCCCAGCCTTCCCCTTGGCCCTGGCCAGCCCCCACTACACACACTGGACAGCCAGCAGCCTTGTCTGGCAGGGCCATAATCGGCCTAGTGGGGCATGGCCCAGCCTGCAGGCAGGAAAGGCATTTGTGGATGGCACTGACCTGACCACTAGCGTTGGCCACCTTCCTGCCTGAGGGATCCATCACTATCCAGAGTGGCCTCGGGCCCAGCCTTGGCTCCTCCCTGGCCTGTGGAGGGTACAAAGGCCTGTGTGGGGCAGGGCAGTAGGAATGAGCTCTTCCTTGCCTTCTCCCAGGGGTGGCCTGTGTTCCCTCCCTCTCCACTCTACTGTTCTAGGAAGCCTGAGTTGGCCAGCACAGACCGTTCCCTTAGGCTGCCGGTGCCAGGGGCAAGGTCCCCTCCTGGGGGCCTTGGATGAGAGGTGTTCTGGTCAGTGCCAGGTGTCTCCTGAAATCCTGAAGTTCTATTACAGACTGGCAGGACCCTGAGTTCATGAAAGATGTGGAAGCAGCCACCGGGATGGATCTGGGCTCATCCAGGTACTGCAGGAAAGGCAAGGGGAAGAAGAGGAAGTACCCCAACCTCACCGACTTAAAGGCGCAGGCTGACACTGCCCGGGCACGCATCGGGAAAAAGGTCTTTGCCAAGTAAGAGCGGTTGGCCCAGGCACCTCAGTTCCAAAGCACCCCAATTTGAGGGCTTTTGAGAAGAGCCAATAGAGCTCCAAGATTCCGCAGGGCCTGGCCCCAGGGCTACCTGCTGTTTTTCCCTGGGTGACCACCCAGCCCCCTTCCCTGGAGGAGGGGATCCCAGCTAGTCAGGGCTGAATTAGATGCTTCCTGATTATATTCACTTGTGTGGTTGCTTTCCATGACATCAGTGGGCAGGCTCTGCCCACATTCTGAGGTATATTCCAGTGCTGGCAAGATTGGGAGTCACTGGCAGCCACCTTCAGAGCTGGGGGAGGCCATGGGAGAAGTGCCAGGGCAGGGCTGAAGCCACCCTCACCTGGGGCAGAACCACCCACATAGGGCCAAGTTCCAGGACTGGTAACTTCTGGCTCTTTCTGAGCTTTGCCTTCTGTCCTGGATGCCTGTGTCTCTGAAAGTGGCTCTCTCAGGATGTCTGCAAGTGGTCCAGGTGCAGCAACTGCCCCAGGACCAGTTCCTGATCCCAGCAAAGCACATTCAACCCAGAGCCCTAGTTGGAGCCTCTCTGAGAGCGTCTTGCTTTGCTTCCCCATAGGGCGGCTGTGCAGAGGGTGATCACAGCCATGAACCAGATGGACCAGAAGAAGCACGAGAAGTTTGCAAACCAGTTTAACTATGCACTGAATTAGAGTCTGGGCCAGGTATGCTACAGTCCCCTCTGGTCATCAGCTCCCCTTACTCTGCCTGTGCACTAGGACAGGAGAGTGGGCGTGGGTCTGGGTGGCGACTGCGTATTTAATGTGAGAAAATGGTGTGTTAAAATGCCCAGGAGGTATGGCCTCTCTGCTGCTATGGGGGACCCCTGTCCGGTTATAAGTCTGGCTTTGCAGAAGAGGCCCTTGAGCCCAGGGTGTGAACATGGGCAGGTGTCCCCAAGGGCTTCTCACAAATTCTTGTAAGACCTGTGCATTTTGTGGTACGTGGTTCAGAATGGATGGAAAGTACATGCTGCTCAGTGTTCAGAGTGTGTGTCCCAGCCTCCTCCCCAGGAGATGAGCATACCGAGGAGCTCTGGGAAAACCCACACTTGGATGCAAATGCTGGTTTTAACACAAACACATAGATAGTGAACCATTCACCCATTGGCACCTTGCATTTCCAACTTCATAGATTGTCTTGGTGATAGTTCCGCATCAGAATGCAGAGAACTGTCTCACTCTCTTCGGTTTTTAATAACAGCTGTATTGAGATACAATTCACATACCATAAAATTCACACTTCTGAAGTGTCAGTTCAGTAGCAATGAGTATATACACAGTTGTACAGCCGCGTCCACTCCCTAGCTCCAGGACTCTTACCACCCTAACAAGAGACCCTCACTCCCCTTCTCTCAGCCTCCGGGCAACAGCTGATGTACTGCTGTTTCTGGATTTGCTTTTTGGACATTTCATATGAATGGAATCATAAAATATGTGGCCTTTTGTCTCTGGTTTCTTCCACTTAGCGTAATGTTTTCAAGGTTTTTTCATGTTGTAACACGTGTCAATACTTCATTCTATTTCATCGCCCAGGAATATTCCAGTGTGTAGAGAGTACCACGTTGTGTTTATCCATTCATCACTGGCATTCGGGTTGGTCCTGCTTTTTGGCTATTATGAATAATGCTGTTCTGAACATTTGCGTACGAGTTTTTGTGTGGATGTATGTTTTCATTTCTTCTGTGTATATACCTAGGAGTGGAATTGCTGGCTTATATAGTAACTCAATGTTTAACTTTTTGATGACCTGCCAAACTGTTTTCCAAAGAGGCTAGACAATTTTGTATTTCTACCAATAATTTATGAGAGTTCTAATTACTTCACATTCCTAACAACACTTGTAATTATCTTTTTATTTTAGCCATCTTAGTAGGTGTTAATTGGTATCTCATAGTGATTTTGATTTGCATTTTTCTAATGACTAATGATATTGAGCATCTTTTCGTGTGCTTATTGGCCACTTGTTTATCTTCTTTGGAGAAATATCTATTCATATCTCTTTCCCATTTTTAATTGGATTATTTGTCTTGAGTTGTAAGACTTTTTATATATTAATACATTCTGAATACTAGACCCTTATATGATTTGCAAGTATCCTCTCCCATACTGTCTTTACTTTCTTGATAGTGTCCTTTGAAACATAAAAGTTAATTTGGATGATGTCCAATTTATCTATTTTTTTAAATAGATAAAAAAATAGATATGTTTTAAATAGATGTCAATTTTATTGCTTATGCACACATTTATTTGCTACTATGAAGTAAAAATACAGCACATCAAAATTTCCTTTCACTGCAATTTTTGAAAACCAGAAAATCTAATCAATTAAGCTCTAGCCAAAACTACCCAATGTTTCCTTCAGATTTTCTCCCACAAGTCATGGCTGCAAATTCTTGATGTTGAGTTTTATCACACTGACTTTAGGTTACTAAAACACATGGGAATACTTCAGACGTATTGGGGATTCTTTGGGTGAAATCAAAAAGTAGAGCTAAAGTATACTGGAGTTATTCAAATACATTCAAACTACACAGATCCCTTATAAATTACTAGTATCAAGGTAATAGGGAAAAGATATAAGAAAAAGATATCAGAACTCATCATAGATTATTATTATCAATTAATTAGATGATTATTAGATCATATAATTTTCAAAATTATTGCTACAGTCTATCCTAACAAAGTAGCTTTCTCAACTTGCTTCATAAAATTACCAGCAAAAAAAGAAAAGCATAAGAATAAGGTTCATGGCAAAATGGGCAGGATGTCATAATTCCCTATTCTAGCATTTTCCGAAGGATCCCATTTGTGATGCATGCAGAAATCGCACCTACATTTGAATGGTTCACTTCTTGATTCACCCTGAGTTTCTTTAAGTCCAGTGTCTGCTAGCTATCTTTCAGGCGGAGCAAATCTGTTGATTAAAACATATCGCAGTCTTGCCAGCCTGTCTCTCTGCTCAGATAACAGCGTCCTCACTCCTCTTCTCCTGTAAGGCATAATAACGCCACCTCTCATAGCCTGGGAGATTCTTTGTCTTCTAGCCAGTCGTTAGGGTTGGGGTTGGGGTAAATCCTCTGGTGGAGGAGAACGGATATTGGTGCCAGCGCTGAAATTGACTAAGGTTCCTTATTAAAGTTTCAGGGAAGTTATGAGGAGACTCTGAATTGTTTTGAGAATTTTCTCCAGTGAGCATGTAAGACTCTGGGTCAAGGTTGAGTCAGGCATTTCTGAAAGGTCCATCTCAGTCTAGTCACAGCTGTAAGCTCCTCCTGGATCTTTGGGTCCCAGCAGAATGACAGGGAAACCTGGAAGGAACCCTGTAGCTCAGAAAGAGCCTGAAAACCCGAACTCCAACAAACGGTGCTGGAAGAACTCTATTTTTTTTCTGTTACTTGTGCTGTTGGTGTCACATCTAAGAAACAATCACTTAATCCATGGTTACAAAGATTTACACCTATAGTTTTCTTCAAAGAGTTTTCTAATTTTAGCTCTTATATGCAGATCTTTGATCCATGTTAAGTTTTGTATATGACATAAGAGTCCAACTTCATTCTTTTGCATGTGGATATCCAGTTGTGCCAGCACCATTGTTGAAAGATTATTCTTTCCCCATTGAATTATCTTAAGCACAATTATTGACAACCAGCTGACTAAGAGCTACTGGTCTATAGTTTTCTTTTCTTGTGATGTCTTTGTCTGGCTTTGGTATTAGAGTACTACTGACCTCATAGATTGAGTTAGGAAGTATTTTCTCCTCTCTGATTTTTTAGAAGAGTTTATGAAGGATTGGTGCTAATTATTTAAACTTTTGGTGGAATTTACCAGTGAAGCCATCTGGTCCTGCGCTTCTCTTTGTGGGAAATGTTTTTATTACTGATTCAATATCTGTATTTATTATAGGTAAATTTAGATTTTCTGTTCCTTCCTGAGTAAGTTTCAGTAGTTTATATCTTTCTAGGAGTTTGTCCATTTCATCTAGGTTATTTGTTACTATTTGGTTTTTTTTGTTTGTTTGTTTGTTTGTTTTTTGAAACAGAGTCTCACTTTGTTGTCCAGGCTAGAGTGAGTGCCATGGCGTCAGCCTGGCTCACAGCAACCTCAAACTCCTGGGCTCACAGCAACCTCAAACTCCTGGGCTCAAGCAATCCTTCTGCCTCAGCCTCCCGAGTAGCTGGGAAGTGCCATCATGCCCGGTTAATTTTTTCTATATATATTAGTTAGCCAATTAATTTATTTCTATTTATAGTAGAGACAGGGGTCTCCCTCTTGCTCAGTCTGGTCTCGAACTCCTGACCTCAAGCAATCCGCCCACCTTGGCCTCCCAGAGTGCTAGGATTACAGGCGTGAGCCACCGGGCCTGGCCTGTTACTATCTGTTGACACATATTGTTCATAGTATTTCCTGATTTAGTAATTTGAATCTTCTCTCTTTTTTCCCTCCCTGGCTTAGTCTAGCTAAAGATAATCAATTTCATCGATCTATTCAAAGAAACAACTTTAACTTTGTTGATTGTTCTATATTATTTTTCCATTTTTTATTTCATTAACTTTCAGTGTAATCTTTACGCTTTCCTTTGGGTTGCTTTGGGTTTACTTTTCTTTTTCTTATTTCTTAAGATGGAAGATTAACTTATGGATTTAAAGTCTTTCTTTTTAATATAGGTGTTTATAACAATAAATTTTCATCTAAGTATTGATTAAGCGTCATGTCATAAGTTTTGGTATATGATGTCTTTGTCTTTTTTTAATATCAAAGTATTTTCTAATTTCTCTGGTGATTTATTTTACTTCCTGATTATTTAAGAGTTTGTTTAATTTCTACATACTGGTGAATTTCCCTAATTTTCTTCTGTTATTGATTTCTTATTGCATTCCACTGTGGCCAAAGAACATACATTATGATTTCACTTCTTTTCAATGTATTGAGAGTTATATTGTAGCCTAACATATGTTCTGTCCTGGAGAATGTTCCACATGAACTTGAGGAGAATGTTCTGCTGTTATTAGGTGAAATGTATCTATAGATGTCTGTTAGGTCTAGTTGGTTCGTAGTGTTGGTTAAGCCTTGTCTCTGAGTTGCTCTGCCTAGTTTGTACTCATGTCTGAAAGCGGGATATTGAAGTCTTCAACCATTATTGTTGAATTTTCTTTTTCTCCCTCCAGTTCTGTCAGTTTTTGGTTCGGGTATTTGGGGGCCCTATTGTTAAGTGCATTCATGTTTATACTTGTTATTTCTTTCTGATGGATGGACCCTTTTATCATTATAACATGTCCTTCTTTGTTTCTTAAAGTCTCATTTGTCTGATATTAGTGTAACTATTCAGCTCTCTTGATTATTGTTTGCACAGTATGTCTCTTTCCATTCTTTTACTTTTATCAAATCTCTGAATCTAAAGAGTGTTTCTTGTAGACAGTGTATAGTTGGATCATGTTTTTAATCCATTCTGCCAGTTTGTGCTGCTTGAGAGGAGCATTTACTCCATTTGCATTCAGTAAAATTACTGATAGGGTTGGATTTTTTTTTTTTTTTCAGACAGAATCTCTATCTGTTGCCTGGGCTAGAGTGCAGTGGCATTATCATAGCTCACTGCAACTTCCTGGGCTCGAGCGATCCTCCTGCCTCAACCTCCCAAGCAGCCGGGACTACAGGCACATGCTAAT